GAGGGGGGGTGAGGGGGGGTGAAAGACAGACAGGAGGACGAGGTAGAGAGAGTGAAATCCCACAGCCCAGACCGACCGCCCTGCTGTACGTCTGAGGAACTGCAGGCTGTCAATAATTCATGAAGATGTTTCTTCTTCTTCTTCTTCTTCTCAGGTCCATACCCTCCTGCTGCTGTGCCTCGATTAAGGACTGAAGTCCAGACCCTTTCAAAAGAAAAAATAATCAGGACAGAGACAGATGAAAAACCTGCTGCAAAATCACATCATTTAAGGCAGTGTTTCCCAAACTTTTTTCTAGGAACCCATATTTTTAAAGTCACAAACCTTAGTAACCCAAGTCAATAGACATTATTTGTAAACTCCTAGCAACCCCCCCCCCCCAAAAAAAAAAAAACTCTTGCGGCCCACCTGAGGGTTGCAACCCAGTCTTTGGGAAACAATGCTTTAAGGGACTAAAACAGCAGCATCAGTTAATGGTACGATGATCAAATGAAAACATCTGTCCTAGAACTTTTTGACTTACACTAATACATACATTAAGTGACACTGGACAATTCATAGGACCAATGACATGGTACAGTAAATCCAACCGACCCCCCCAGGTCCCCCCCTCCCCGTTACTGATGCTGACTGACTGGGTCACATATGGAAGTTACCAAAAATAATCCAGTCCATCATCGTGAGCTGACGTATTTTCAAAGAACACGTACAACAACAATGGTTTGTGTGAGTGGACACATAAAAGCGCACACAGCTTGGTGTATTTGTGTACACACACCCACACACAACAAACACACACGCTTACTTTCGCTCTTTTTTCGACGGCCTCCTCCCTCTCCGTGGGGTTTTGGTGGTAGGTGTGTTTAAGGGCCTGCAGCGACACCAAAAGCCTGTGGTCTGTGAAAAGAACCGAGGTTCGCCTGCGACACCGGCTTCCCAGGACACACCCTCCGCACACTGACACACAGAGGCACACACACGCAGCCCATAATGACACAACGGAGTTATCGTGTGGCAAGAAAACCCCTTTAAAAGCTCTATTTACTTTATGGAAGGAGGAAAATCATACGGAGGAGTGAGTGTTTTATTTACTGGGGAATATTTATAGACGTCTGATGTGAGAAATTCTAAAACCCGTCGCAGCTGAAACATTGATTCATGGTTATGCATTTCTCCAATCACACACTGTTTCTGGGATCGGGGGCGAAGTGGTCGGTGTTATTGATTTTAGTTGAAATGTCCAAACCTAACAGGAGCGCTCCTCCGGTGGAGGACGGTGACACGTGTCACACCGACCTCAAGCCTCTCACACTTCAAACTCAATTTCCAGCGCACTCTCTGGAGGTCTGAAGGTATTGAGATCTATTTCCCTGACAGGTTGTTGTTGGTGTGTGTGTGTGTCTCTAAGGGAGAGAGGCCTAAACTGTCACCCGGCTCATTCCTCTGGGCCCCCTAGTGGCACGACCTTTGTGACCTGTCACTCTGTCTCCCGTCGCTCTGGTAGTCCTGTGTCTCTCAACTGTAACCTGAACCAGTCTGACCCACTGGAATCTGTCAAGTGATGGGAACACACAGCAATCACATGTTAATGTACCAGCTCAAGTGACCAATGAGGTCCCAGAGCTGCGGTACTTGATTTGACACAGGGAAATATTACGAGAAAAAAAGTCACATCTTCTAAAGTTTGATGCAGTCGTTTTCCAAGAATATCGTGTCTGCCATCTTCAACAAAAAAACTAAACTAAACAAAAACTGACCTCATAGGTTTTTTGTTTCACGTAGGTGTAGTACATGCTGAGTGCCAACAGAACAGTAAGTATATTTTGGCAAGGAGAATTTGGAGAAAAAGTTCTGTGAGGCACTGACCCTGAAAGCTTGTCCCAGTCATTCAGGAGTCAAACCGCTGCACCACATCCAGCCGCTCTTCTCCCTCAGCCGTTCCTTTCTTATATTTCCGACAGCATTTTGTACAACAACTCTATGTCAATACACATACTTGTAGTACTTGACAAGTATTTTTGCTTGCCAAGCAGTGAATTGTTTTTCCCAGAAGTTACTGCTGACGCTGCCCAGACGATCCATTTTTAGGGGAAGAGACAAAATCACACATTTGTGCATTTCTTCTTAGTTTAAATCTGCCTGCTGAGCCTCGGAGTCAGGGCCTGACGTCCTGTCAACAGTTGGAATTATGGTTTAAAAAGAAAAATGACACTGATGAATTAAACAATAGTTGTAGAATCCTGTGTAGACCAGAGTCGATCGCTAGTTTTACAGCCGATAAATTTGTTTTTCTAAGAAAATCTTAAACTAAACATAATGAATTTGGTGGTGTAGTGGTTATAATGTCTGCCTTACACATTTGCCTTACTTGCAGAAGGCCCTGTGTTCAAGCCCCAGAACAAGACATGTCTGAATGGCACCTCCTGTGAATTGTGAAACAAACAACAGACTTCAATTTTTTTGTTAATGCAAAACAAACAATGTTGTCATAAAAACTCGGAATAAAAAAATACAGCAATCTATAAAAAATTTCTACTTTGCAAATAAGTTGTAAATATCTTATTGTAAAACCAGACCAGGAGAGCGGAGTTAAAGGCTGGTTTCCAGTAGATTCTTTGGCAGAGATGTTCCCCTTTCAACAGAGAGAAACAACCAACGTCTGAAAGGAGAACTGAGTGGAACCATCGCAGCAGTTTAACTGGAGTCTACTGAAGTGAAGAGCAGCTCAGTGGAGGAAGACCTCTTCATAAAATGTAACCCTCATCATCAACCAGGTCCTAATATTCATCAATCTTCGACCACCTCACCCACTGCAGCCCTAACGGCTCTCACTCCAACTCCAGTCCAAACACTGCAGCCGATCCTCTCGCAGCACTGTATTTATCTTGGAAACAGCAGAGTCGACTCCGCTGAGTTCAGTCACTAAATGGAGAGAAGTAAAACAGCGCTTCAGTTCATGTAAAAACATTCTAATGTGTGTGTTGCAACGGAGCCTAGGAACCAGCAGAGGGTAAGCTGATCTCTGGTCTGCGTCAGGGGGAGAACTGGTCCGGTGGCCTGTCGACAGGCACTACTGGAACTGTCCACACCTCGCTAACCCACCACCACCTCGGTCACTCCGGCGCTGTCTATTGGTCGGACACACGATGACGACTTCATTTGATTCGGGTTCATATTTTATCAAATTGTAATTAAGGTCTTAATAAAAATAAGTATTTCTTTATTTCAGTTGTTGTTCATTTTGCCTTCCTGTTTTTCTTCACCTAAATATTTTATTTGTTTTTCCTCTGTCTTTCCCACTAAAGAAGTACTCGTGTACTTTATTTTACCAGCGGTGCAGTATTCCTGAAGTACTCCTTCTTGTTTGATTGGATTATCCCAGTCACGATAGTCGGCCTACATCCAAACAGAATTAACCCAAACTGTTTGTGACCGACCAGGATGTCATGTGATCTTTGTGATCAATCACCTTACCCTCCCTCCCTCCTTCCTCCCCCACTAGTTCTGAAGGTGTGGACCCAGCAGCTCGTTGTCCATCCAGCTTTCCTCACTCCTATGCATATGGGAACGTGTCTCTGAGTTAAAATGTTTGTTCTTCCCGAGGAGTTAAAAGACGTCCGTGAGGGAAACCGACTCGGACGAGGAGTTAGCACCTCTGGACCTGAGGGACGCAGCACGGGCTGTATTTCCTCCTCCTGTTCTAACCACTATTTAATTGAAATAGCCTGTTCATTCCAGGGTCCTGCATCAGATTTCTCTCCCTACCTCCCCTCTCCTCACCCAACACGACCCACACGTCCTAAACCCAGTTTCACAAACATCAAAATTTCTCACTGACTGACACGTCCTCGTTCACCAGGAGTAAATATTTATGTGGACGTACATCAGCCACTGACCGACTGTATTTATCTTCAGACACAGCAGCTCTGAAAACATTCAGTAATTCAAACACACCCTCATGCACTACATGGTACTGTTTACACACACACGCCCACCCTCCCAGTGGCCTCATCAATAAGCCATATTACTGAGCAGGTCTTACGGGAAGCCGTGGTGAATTAGTGTTGTCAACAGTTAACGTGGGCTTCACTGATACGGAGCTGAGTGAAGACAGGCTGCAGGAGCACACACACACACACACACACACACACACACTTCGTCCACTGGACCCAGCTGTAACCATTACTAGTTATTGCTAACGCCCTGGTTTAGGTTAAGTCAGAGTGTATTAAACCCTGTCGATGCTCAGCTTCAATCTATCGTCTTCTGTATCTGAACTCCCCAAAAAAAGACAAAAAGAAGGGCTCTGCTAGGAGTCAAGTTGGGCTTCTACTCTGTGATTGGTCGATTTAAAAAGACAAACTTCATTTTTATCGAAAGCATTTTTAAACTAGAACAATGACCTAGAGGATTTTCTGAGACTTCTGTCTCCACACAGGAGCAGAGAGCAACAATTTTATATAAACAACGGGGCCTAAAAAGAGCGCCCCCTGTTTCACAGACCAATGTCTTACTGTATATACTGTATATATGTGCTCATATCTGTATATGTACTTGTACCATCGCTACTCTACTGCAGTAGTTCCCAAACCTTTGACATTAATAGACATTATTCGTAAACTCCTGGGAAACAGGGACGACCGAACAAAAAAATATTGCGACCCAGTCTTTGGGCAACAACGCTCT